CGCATGGTTTTTTTTCTAAATTTTCTGGAAGTTTTTTGTTCGGATCTGTGAATTGATCATCCGTAAGTTATTGATACAATTAGGTATTCTATTGTGATTATGAAACACTTGTATCTGGAATAGCAATGCCTATCAATGAATAAATTCATTCCAGTAATGCGGGTCAAGAGTCGTGCTCTTCGAGGCATCAACGAACCAAAACTACGAACTTCTGTGATGACGTTGACGGAAAGTGTTGCTCGAGAAAGGATAAGAAATACGGTAGCGTCATGACTACTCAACTATACGTCCTATTGACTGCAGCTGAATCAGCTTAAAAATCTGTACCTCAAATTTGAAAAAATGCGTTCTTGTTCTGAACTGTCATTTTTGACGTTGCCATTTTTTGAATTGATCGAAACGATCACCGAAAATCCACTAAGAACGAAGAATTTCGGTGACCCAGTCCACATTTCTTCTTTGTGACCTTCTCCTTTTCGAATGAATATTTTTCGAGGCGACTGCATTTTCGGCATCTGCGATCGCAAACTTCTGGTTCCCCAGCATTCATTGTCCTCGATTCTTTGCTTGTCCTGCACCACACTAGCATGTGTACTGTCTATTTTAAGAATCGTCGAATTTGAAAGGCAGCTATCACAAGGAAGCACCACCGATTCCTGCGCACCGATGTGTTGATGGACGAGCATCACCATCGTTCGATTACCAGAGCTCAAAAAATGCTTTGCTCGACAGCGTACCTTTGAAGGCGACGATATCACGTCACAACCGAACCAGCACATTTGAGGTTTCTCTTTTGGAGTTACTTCGAAACGAAAAACGCTCGTTCAATTCTTGGATGCTCTTCTCAGATTTCATATTTTACATTATCATTTCGATGCGCTTTCGTGAAACCGTATCGGACCTGAAAAAGGTTCTTTTAATGTTTCCATCGATTTCAATTTCATGTTCAAATTCATTTGATTTCAGCCCGAGTCGTTAGGCTATTTGAACGTTGCACTATCGTACAATCGTCTTTCCTCAACACTTTTCGTTACTGTTCTTTCCGCAAGAGGCCTCTCATACAGGCAGTACAGCAGTACGGCATTCTATCCAAATCCTTTCGTTAAAATTTATCTTCTACCGGGCAGAAAGTGAGTTGATTTGTCTTCTATTCAAACTGAACCGTTCTTTAACTCTTCGCTACTGTTGTTCAACTTTTAAACTTCTAAATTCACTAAATTGATAGAAACCAATGCTACATTTTGCTCCTCAAAGAATGCTTGATGAAGTGTTCAACTTTTCAGAGTTTCAAATAAAAGACGCACCAAATTCGTTCCAAATACATGCGATCCTGTATGGAATCAAACAGTTGAATACATGATTCCAATGCAAGAACTATATGGTCACTACCTCGAGTTTACGGTTTGGGACTACGATAAGATTAATGATAACAACTCACTTGGACAAGTTGTAATAAGTCTGTCAGGTAAAAACCATCTTTCAGCACTTCACAATTTTCCACTTCAAGTTGTTATGCTTCGCATTTGCTCGTCACATAAAGGTGCGACTCATCGAAATCTCCATACAAGATTAATTCAGTGATAATTTTTGAGGCTATATTCTTCTAGTAAACATAAGCTATTCAGAACCGTATGTATTGAATGGTGTTGCACGATGGTATCCTCTACAAGCATTGCATCATAACTTCGCCGTAAGTGGCTTGCCTGGTGTACAATTTGATACAGCCATTGGTACAGTTAACAGATCTTATAACACATCACAATATAATCCCGGTACTGTTTTCTTAGTTTTTTTGTTTAGTTCTTTTGTTATCTCAACTTCACTCCAGCCATCAGAAAAAAATTGGTGATTGGCAGCGTGGTTGTGAAGTTGTGAAGTTTTAGTTTCGTAAGAAACAAAACCGGATGCCACAAAAGTGCCATTTTCAAATAATCATACAAGTTTCAGTGTCTCTCGACATCGGCTATCCGGCTATCAACTGATCTCTAATCTGACCACCATTCAATTGTCGTTCAATGAAGGTCTATTTGAAAATCGAATCTCGACAAATCTCATCTCAGTGAATTATGCAATAAATTATTGTTTGTTTCTGTTTTTCTAATGTTGATATGTGAAATGAAAAATAAATTATTCGCGTTTCAAAACATTATTTTCTTCATTTCATTGCAATGTTATTGTGTTTTTACGGTTAGTGACCAATAAATTTATAAGTTTGATCACAAAAAATCAGCAGATTTGATGTTTAAGAAGTTCCTGACGGGATTCCGTAACGAAAGGACACAGGTTTTCTTTAGAAGAAATCCCATTCATTTCGGATTTTAAATCCCGTTCAGTTTAGCGCACCAATCTCGGTTGGAATTCTCCGATGTACGTACGATGGCTNGTTTAAGAAGTTCCTGACGTGATTCCGTAACGAAAGGACACAGGTTTTCTTCAGAAGAAATCCCATTCATTTCGGATTTTAAATCGCGTTCAGTTTAGTGCACCAATCTCGGTTGGAATTCTCCGATGTACGTACGATGGCTCTTAATTTTTTTAAAGCTGAAATCTCGGTGGTGCATAATAATTTCTCCTCGTTCGCACTCGAAATGCTGAGCGTAATAATGTTCACGAAATGTGCTGCGTCCGGTGCATCAATTCTGTAAACATTTTGCCGTCTGAATTCGTCATTCATTCACTTTATTTTGTTCCTCTATTCTGGTCCATTCATTGTTCATTATCATTGCCGTTTCTTTGAATGCTTTGAAGGTTCACAACAAATCGTTAATCCATTTGATGAATCACTTGTGCAGTTAGTTCTCTGATTGATTTTATTGGTTGATTGAATTCTCTGATTTGTTTCTGCATCGATTACTTGATTCCGATTTGCTTATCAATGTGTAATAAATCGTTTGATTCAACGTGAAACAACGGTATGAAAGGAAATTTTTCGAATGATTATGCGCAAATTATCAGTTTTCGTTTTTACGCAATTGATCGTTTGTTTCGATCGATCAATTTGCTGGGTTCTTGTGAAGTTTTCTTGGTTGCTTTGAGGAGTAACGTGATCTCGAGTTGAGAACTGTCGTGGGTTTAAGATTCAACAGTTCACTTAGTGACAGCAAACCGCAAATCATANGTTGAGAACTGTTGTGGGTTTAAGATTCAACAGTTCACTTAGTGACAGCAAACCGCAAATCATACTGCTTTGTGAACGTTGAATTTCATTGACGATTTGCAGTGTCTTCCAGATTTTATATTAATCGTCACTGTCTTCAAGTGGAATGGTACGTGTCGATTGTTTAATGTATATAGAAAGCTATTATCACCACCAGAATGCACTCATTTAAGTGAATCATCAAGTTTTCAGTGAGGATCAAAGCGGTCAGAAACAGTAATCTTTTTAGAACACGTTCGGTTTCAAGCTTTAAACTTCTAATTTTACCATCACTGCACATTCTGTAAGGCCATATATTTTACGCCAACTATCAACGCATTTCATCTGATCAGCAGAATTCCTTGAAGTGATGAATATTCATTGCTCTATCGTTCAAGACGTTGTTCATAACGTTCTAAAGGAATAATTACCAGAGTTTCTTTTTCCAAAATGTGTCCAAAACAAACAGGTTTTTAACATTTCCTAGATCCTCAATCGTTTAAAATAAATGCCGAATGTCCAAGACATTTGAGGCGTGAAAATTCGCCAAAATAATTTCTAGTGTTTCATTCGGTGGTGATACAAAGAATAGATTGATTTATAGATGCTTTAGAAGATTGTTATATTTATTGTTATCGTAGCGTGTCATAATAATTGTATATGCTCTAGTGCATTGAGCAAATTGTTGTCGATCATTCATTGCATTGTAATAATCATTATCCAGCATACAAAGCGATTAATTCGTGCAATGTTCACGTAAATGATTTAGTTAAGTATTTATTTATTAAGATTGCGTTTTCTTTCCAATTGCGGCAAGAAGAATGAACCATGAATGAAGAATAAAGGCTTTGTTCATATCAGCGTGTAACATTTTCATGAAATCTGCTGCATTAATCTATTTGACCAAACAAAATAAAGTTTTGCTAAAATTTCTTTCACATTACCTTTCAATTCTGTGCACACATTTTGGCGAAAAATATTTTCATTTTTTTTACTGAAAATTGCTCATTGTATGTATTCAAAGCAGAAGTAACGTTATAAATCGAAACGAGATATATAAAAGACGAATTTTCATGTTTTTGAAATGGAATGCAAAGTATGCACAACATATACAGTTGAACAAGTCAGTAAAAAGATCGAGTATAGTACAAAATGATTTCAAAAAAAAAGTGAATCAGTCCTAAAATCGACCCATTTTTGAGGACTTATTTCAACGATAATCTGTGCTGCTGTCCGAATCTT